GGTTTGATGCTTTTTTTTTTTTTTTCCGTGGTATTTAGTAGGTGGTGAGGAAATCTCTGCTGACCCAAAAATGACTTGTCTGCTGTCAGCCGAAGGTCTCCCTGGTTTGTGATATCCCTGCAGGATATCCTGGCTATGCCAGGAGAACCAGGTTCGGTTTTGTTTCTTGCTGGAGCAGTATCTATAAGCACACCACCAATTCCCACCGTGACCTGCCCAAACAAGGCTGCACGACCGGCTCCGTCCTAGCGCCAGCGCTTGGCGAGGCCAGCCTGGCCGGGAGACAAGGCTGCAGGCAGCTCGGGTGGCTGCTGGCCCTGCAGGTTTCACCCCACGCTCACCGGTATCCGAGTAGGATTGCCGTCTTGAGGCAGATACTGCCTTGAGCCACCCAACGGCAGATGTTTTTAGGGTGGGTTACAGTGGGCACCGAGGGGAGAGGAGGAACGCACCAGCTGAGGTAAAGGTGTCATTGCCTGTTCAACCTTTCCCGTAGCATCCTTCTGTCAACCTGGTCTCCATCCTCACTCTGCCTTTGCCGGAGCTTTCCAAGAAACTGCGGGATGGCTCCCTCCCTCCGGAGCACGTCTTCTACGCCTATGTGGGCAAGGTGAGGAGCAGGGGTGGTGGGGCTGGCTCTCTTGGGAGAAGCCCTGCACAAAGTTCAAATGCGGGTTCAAACACTGCTCTGCTGTCACCGCTCCCTGGTTAGTGCTGGCCCTTTCCGCACTTTTCCGTGAGCAATGGGAGAGCTGAGCATCTGGCTGCCGTGGCTCTCAGCTTGGTTTGGAACAAAGGAGAGCAGCAAGCTCAGCATCTGGAGAGTCCATACCTTCCCGGGGAGCCCACACCTTCCCCCGGACAGGTTTAGCTGTCGGGAAGTTAGAGTGCTGCTGTTGTCCTGCCCCCTTCCATATCCAAATGGGTTGGTAAACCTCAAAGCCTCAGTGTCCGCTTCCATTCTCTGCTTTTGCCAAAATGCCCTGATTGTCTCCTGGGTTCACATTTTAGCGTTACTGTTTTACACCACCCCAGAAGCCCAGTCAAGACAACAGCCTTTGGTGGGCTGAGCACCTCTCTCCATCACGCAGCACCTGGTGCTATGGGCCTCCTGTGTCCAGATAACGTTCTGGAGCTTGGCATGAAAATGTCTTGGAAAGGAACAGAAAGGGCTGCCCTGATACTGGCTGCCCAGGTGGGGAGGTGGGAAAGGGGGAAGAGAGGTGTCCTTTGCAAAGTAGAAGGCTGTTGTGTCTCACCTGCGGGATTTGCTTTCCCTAAGGCCCTCCAAATCGCCATAGAAACCAACTGTATCACAGAGTATCTGCAGGAAAGCGAGACCCAGCTCCGGAAAGCGAAGCTGACAGGGAAGCCGGGTTTGCTGTACGGGGTGCCTGTCAGCATCAAAGACTCCATCAACTGCCAGGTAGCCCCAGCGCGATACCACGTGCATCCAGTGATCCCTGTGGTTTGATGTTTGGTGGCCGGGGGAGGTTTGAGCTCAGCACCTGGCTGGAATTCATTGTCACTGATGTGGGATGGCCTGCCCTGGCACGTGGTGGGGTTTGCTGCCTGTATCCCATAAGAGCCAACAGACAGCTGGGCAGATTTGCTACCAATACACTACGCAACGTGTGCCTCATGGATGGGATGCTGGAAGTGCATGCACATGCTTATATATAAGGATAAAAATATGGGGTTAGGGGGAATTACAATCCTCGTTTGGAAACTGTGTTCTGCTGTGTCCCCAGGGCCATGATTCCACATTAGGGTTTGTGAAGAACCTCAATAAACCCGCAGCAGAGGACAGCGTGGTGGTGCAGGTCCTCAGGAAACAGGGTGCAATTCCGTTTGTCAAAACCAATGTTCCCCAGTCCCTCATCAGGTAGGTGGGTGCTCCCTTCCCTTGGCACAGCGCAGTCCTTCCTCCCTCCCTCCCTTGTCTCACATGAGCGCTTCTGATGAGTCTAATTCTCATTTCCCACTTCTTAAATGATGGCACCTGGTCCCCATTCTTAGTATCTCTAAGTTTTACTTAAAAAAGTAAATGCATTTATGCTAAGGATGAAAATTAACTCTAATTCCAAATTAAAAAAAAAGCAAAAAGGAGGAGAAGAGGAGAGAAATCACTCCCTTTCTTTCTTGTGCTGGCTGGTTTTAAATTTTTTTTTTTTTAATTTTAATTAAATTAACCTCTCGGTGGTGCATCTGTACAGTGCAAACACACATTAATGGACAGGGAAGCTGGTTAACTAGTTAAGCTAATGACCTTAGATTATCCTGTCCCCAAACCTCCTGCTTTATCTGGCGGGACCACTCGGGGCATCACTGATCTGGGGTGAGGTCAGATGTCTCTGCTGGCTGGCCACCCTGCTAGCGTCACTGTGTCCTGCCCAGTGAACCCTGGCAAAGCTCCTCGGGGGTGACTATTGCCTGGCTGTACGAAATGCCTGCCTCAGGGTGACAAGGCAGTGACCATGTTTAAAAGATGCTACACAAGGAGGTTGCCCCAGGGATTATCAGATTTTGCACCAGTTCCTTGGGGAGCCTGATGTTCAGATATCACTGCAGCTGGCATTTGGCCTGTTCCCAAGCAGGGGCTCAGCAATGCCCCCCTAGGGTGAAGGGACCTGGACCTGCTCCAGATGGCCTGCTTTGGATGTCCTGTGGCACTCAGGACTGCCTTAACAGGGAGGCTTTCCCGGAGGTTTGATGGATTTGTGCTGCGAGAGGCTCTGTCTAGGGAAGGCTCGATGACACTGAAATTAGCTGGCAGTGAATCCAGGTGCTGGGACCACCATGGAAAGGCTGGTGATCTTCATGGGAGCTTTGGGAAGCTCCCCCAGACTAAGTGATGTCAGTGTAGCAATTAGTGAATTATCTAATTACCTTCGGAAGGTCCTTTTATGTAGTGACTGGGGTCCACAACAGCAGATGTCTACGTTCCTCTCATCTGCAATCTCTCTCTCTCTCTCTCTCTCTCTCTCTAGCTATGACTGCAAGAACTTAATCTTTGGTCAGACATTCAACCCTCTGCTCTACACCAGAAGCCCCGGAGGCTCCTCTGGTGGAGAAGGGGCACTTGTAGGAGGAGGTGGGTCCATCCTGGGCTTTGGGACAGATGTAGGAGGGAGCCTGCGTTTCCCCGCTGCCTTCTGTGGGGTCTGCTCGCTCAAACCCACCGGGAACAGACTCAGGTACTGTGAGTAGTGCAAGGATGGCTCTGGGTGAGACCCACTCGCCACCGTACCAGCCGCTGTGCTGGGATGCTCCTGCTCCTACGGGCAAGGGGAAATCTGTGAGGAGCTGGGAAGGGCTTGTTTCTCCCTCCTGCCTGGCCTCGTCTGGGGCCTGTGTGGAGGGAAGCATTGATTTTCCCCCAGAACGAAGATGGGGAAACCTCTCAATCTGCATGCTAAGGGGACTGAGAGGGCATAAATCATTCTGGCCTAGGTTGGGTCTTCCCCTTGGCCTTTCCTTCTGCCAACCTCTGCATTTGCAAAGGGAGGGCAGTGTTTTCATTACCGCTTGCGACTGCTTGAAGCCTTTACCTTCTGTGAAAACTGCTGAGCTGCTGTATTTTGTGTGTCTCTTCTTCGCAGTAAAAAAGGAATCCTTTCTGGTGTCACTGGGCAGAAGGCAGGTAGGAACTGATGGTTGTCCTCCAGGGAGGGCCATAGGGCAGGGGTGAGAAGGACCTTCAGCTGGTTATGGAGGACCTTCTCCAACATGTTCAGAGAGGGAAGCAGGTTCCCTTTCAGGCACTCTTTCAGAGAGCCACCCCTATACGTGATTCCTGAGAAACTGGAATATGCACGAGCTGTTTGTGCAACACATAAACCTCAACAGCCTGTAACCCAAAGGTTGCTGCGTTGTCTGCCAGTGCTTTGTGGGAGGTGGGATTAACAGTCCAAGGGGGCATTTATGTTGTCCTTGTGTCGTGATTTACAAAATTAAACAAAAAGCTTTGTCAATCATGAAGTGGGGTCATCAGGGCACATATTGATGGTTAACAACTCTGGGTCCGTAATGATAGGCCTGCTGGTGGGAAGGCACTTGGAGGCATCCCCAGCCCAATTCTCAAAGAGGAAATGCTGCCCATGCTAGACTTAAGTCGAAAAGATGCCAGGAATTCCTGCTTTTGCAGGACATGCCCTTGAAAGACCTCCAGGCTCTCTTCTGGTCTCTTCCAGTGGTCGCAGCCGTGGGGCCGATGGCAAAAGATGTGGAGAGCCTGGCGCTGTGCATGCGGGCGCTCCTGTGCGAGGACATGTTCAGCCTGGACAGCACAGTGCCCCCCCTTCCCTTCAACGAAGAGGTAAAGGACCTCAAAGGGGGCGAAGGTCTGAGCAGGGCTGCCGCTGCTCAGGCTGAAAATGCCGGTGGCTCACAGGAGCTCACCGGGACCTGTTCTAACCTGCCGTGTGCTGTTGGTGGGTGAGAAGTGCTGCTTTCCAGACTTGCCCCGTGGCATGGGTGTTCCCTTCGCTCCTGATGCTGCTGACATCTTTCCAGCTGACACTCTGTCTTCCTCTGCAGGTGTATTCCAGCACACAGCCCCTCCGTATAGGCTACTATGAGACTGATTTCTTCACCATGCCAAGCCCTGCCATGAGACGTGCTGTTCGGGAGACAAAGCAGCTGCTGGAGGATGCTGGCCACACGGTACAATGTTGCATGAACCCAGTAGTCATACTGCATCTATTCTTCTTTCTTAACATGCCTTTGGGCTACATAGGTGAACATCAAGCAAATTTGGCAAGGAAAGAAGGCCTGGAATCCACTTAGCTTCCCACAGCTTTGATGACAGTAGATAGCTGCTTCTGGAAAAGAGAAATTCTTTATATTGCAACTTAATTTCTCCTCTTGGCAGGATCTCGGTGCTCTTTAGGTGCTCGTGAACACCAAAGGGAGCCCACCCTGATCCATAACACTTGCTGGGGAGTAGAGGCACTGCTGTATGACCCGTCTGTACTGTGGGTGCATTTACTCACACCCTGGCCAAGCAGTCCCATATTGACCCAGACCTGTTTCTGGGGTGCTGAGCAGAAGTGGTCTCCCTCCTCTCTGCCATTTCAGCAAGTCATCAACTGTGCATGTGGCATGGTCATGGCTGCAAACCTCGCCCTTACCCTTGCACAATGATGAGGAGTGAAGTGGGGGGCACAGACTCATGCTCTCTGTCATCCACTGCCAGATTTGGAGGCATCTTTGTGCCTTGGGGCTGCTTGGACATTAGGGGGCCAAGCCCATCCTGTATCCTTTGACTCATCATTTGTTGCTCAAAGGGAAAATGGTGGTTTTGGGGAGGGCTGGACTGGACAGGGAGGACTTAGTGACTTCAGATGCTGGACGCTTTCCTGAGAGCTTGTCAGGAAATTCTCAGCCCATTGTGAGCCCTCGATGGCTTCTCCCACACAGCTTGCTTGTGCCACTGACTCCTTTTCCGTTGTCCTTCCAGCTGGTGCCCTTCGAACTCATGAACGTGGACTATATGTTCTTTAACTTCTGTGTCAGGGGGATGTTTGCAGATGGGGGTGCCTCCTTTATCAAGAAATTGTAAGTACGCGCTGGAATGGATTGGTGTGATCAGTGTCTTTCTATGAAAATCCTCCCGAGGATTTGGCTAGCATCTGCATACAGGTAGCAGATCTACTGGATGTAGATAGTGGCTGATACCCCTAGGATTTACTGGGGAGCTTACCATCGAGTGGTTCAGCCGAACCTTGGGTCTCTGGGATTGTTACCAGCCTTGACAGATGAAAGAAAACTGGGTGCTGATATCTTAAAAGCAGTGTGAGAATCAGAAGAGCCCAGAGGAATGGAGCAAACCTCTTTTTGTCACTTAGATGTGCTGTTCAGAGGGGTTGGCTTTGTGAAAGCTGATCTACTGTGATTACTTCCTAACACTGCTCAGCTAAATACCCTTTTTCCTTTCAGCAAAGGGGAGCTGGAGGCAAGCAGCATGGGGCTGTTCTTCTGGTTGGCGAAGTCACCAAACTGGCTAAAAACTGCCCTCTCCTGGATTGTCAAACCCTTCGTAAGGTCCATTTCTTTCTAGCATAGATGGAATTAAGCAGTAGGTGGTGAATAACTTGTCTCCTGTTGAAATAAAGCTTTATCGTAGACAAGCCAGGTGATTCTTTCTGGCTGTGCTTAGACACATCTCCAAACTGGAGTGATGTTACTTCTGCTCCTCCTCTCCCCACTTTGGGGAAAATCCATGAGTCCTGCCTGAGCACTGAGTCAACACCTTGTGACAGAACTGTCTCAGAGGACAGGGCTAGGATTAATGTAATTTATTTTCTTTTTTACTTTCTCAGATGCCTCGACTTTCAAATATCATGAAAGCTATGAGATCCAAGTGAGTAAATCTGAGCCTGAGCAAATGTATGAAGATCTGGTTTTCTCTTTTGGAGGGCAGCAGCGTTTGCTACTTTAGGGATATTGCCCCAGCTGCATGTGTCTGAGAAAACAAAAGGAAGAAAACACAAGGATGGGAGCAAACTGGGGGCAGTTTATGCCAACACCACAACCCTACAGGGTTTAGCAAACTGATCTGGGAATGAGGGTGGGTGATCACAGGCTCTTGATTAGGAACTGGATGAAGTTTTTGGGAATAAAATACAGTGTTGGCTTCAGCACTGGTTAATATATCCATCATGCTATGAGGCAGGGATCCCCTAAGAGAGAAGGAAGGTTAATGCCCAGGGAAGGAGGCTTGCTCTTCCTTGCTGCAATGTCAGTGTTGGTCAGTTAGTGATGAGAAAGGACTCAAATCCTGTAGCAGAGAGGGTGTATTTTGTGCTGTGCCTCCAAGGCAGTATGTCTGTCCCCACATCAAAGGATCCATTCACCTTGCATGGCCTGGCCTTTGAGAAATGTCATGCCTGGGCTTCCACCTCCTCAGCACAGCGGCAGTGGCAGGGATGGATACCTGTCAGGCCAAAGCAGCACTGCACCAATCTGCCTTTAGTCTTCAGTGCTCCATCATGGGCAGAAGCAGAAATAAGACACCCCCAGCCCTTTGGAGGAAAGCCAGGACTTTGGCAAAGTCCTCTCTTAGTAGAGCTAACCTGTGCCCATCTGCTTTTTGATGTTCTTCCCTGCCCCTAAAGCTGCCCTTGCAGCACCTCTTGATGGCTTTCATTGTTTGGTTTTTTTTTTCCTTTTTCAGCACAGTGGATGAAGTCTGGAGTCTTCATCATGAAATGGAGGTAAAGTATTGCAATTTGGACTTAGATAGCTTTTGGTTTATTTCTCTTTGGGAAAAGGCAGATTCAGTACCCACCAAGGTTAGGAGGTGATCAAGTCACTGGCAATGTGAGGTAGGAATGTACGTCACTGCTCAACAGATCTCACTTGGATATGCAAGTTCTCAGCACATTTAAAGATTAGGACAACACGTACACACTCTCATGATGCCGAATCATACCTGAATTTTTCACTCCTACACTTGAAAACATTGGCCATCAGCTGCAGCAGACTTGCCTTTATTTCCATTCTTTCCTCAAGACCCATGCCCGTGTCCCGGGTTGCCATGTGCCCCTGCACTCAATCTTTTCCCACCTCCTGTTTTAGCAGGGGAGAATGTGCTTTGTACGCTGCAGGGGCTGTTGGCCAAGCAGCAATGGGTTGCTGGATTTTATCAGGATCAGGCTTCATTGAGGTCCTTGAGCGTGTCCAGAGAAGGGCCACAAAACTGGTGAAGGGTCTGGAGAATATGTCTTATGAGGAGCGACTGAGGGAACTGGGCTTGTTTAGCCTTGAGAAGAGGAGGCTGAGAGGAGACCTGATCACTGCCTACAACTCCCTGAAAGGAGGTTGTGGAGAAGTGGGTGTTGGTCTCTTCTCCCTACTGACAGATGATCGGACGAGGGGGAATGGACTCAAGCTGCACCAGGGGAGGTTTAGATTGGACGTAAGGAAGAAGTTCTTCACCGAAAGGGTTATCACACACTGGAACAGGCTGCCCAGGGAGGTGGTAGAGTCACCATCCCTGGATGTGTTTAAGAGACGGGTGGATGAGGTGCTGAGAGATATGGTTTAGTGGTGGACAGATACGGTTGGACTGGATGATCTCTAAGGTCTTTTCCAACCTAGTGATTCTATGATTCTATGATTCTATGATTCATGTGTCCTGATGACTGCCCCTGGGGAAGGGCGAGAACCTGGCTGGGCACTGAAGGAGAGCCTCAGAGAGCATCCATGGGACAGTACATCCACCCTATTCACCACCAGTGTGTTTCCTCCTCAGGAGTTTTGCTACCAGTTCATCTCCCAGTGGAAAAAGCTGAATCTGGACGTTATGCTTTGTCCCATGCTGAGCCCGGCTTTCGGCATCGGCTACCCCAAGAAGCTCTCAGGTAGGACTGCTGACAGGGGGCCTCTGGCATGCCCCTGCTGTGGCACTCCACCCCTATGGATGAGAAGCCTTCCCTCTCTTCCCCTCACATCCCCAAGGCTCTGGCAAGTGGTGGAAAAGGCTCAGCTCTTGGGGCAGCTGCAGCTGGAAAGCAAAACCCTGGTGCCTGTGGGAGCCAAGGGGCAGGTTTCCATCCCGCAGCCCTTGAGTTCCCAGTGCAAGCTCCCTGTTAGCTGGGAGCTCGCATACATGGAGCCGGGGGAAGGCTTTCCCGGCGGCAGGCGGCTGCTGAGAGCTCCCTCTTTCCCCAGTGGCAGTCAGCTACACCATGCTCTACAATGCCTTGGACTTCCCCGCCGGCGTGGTCCCTGTCACGATGGTGACAGACGAGGATGAGGAGGAGCTGAAGGGCTACCAGGGGTACTTTCGGGACTGGTGGGACCGGACCCTGGCAAAGGTGAGTGGCACCAGGTTCCCCGGGGGGCACAAGCATCCCCGTCCCTTTCCCTGGACATCCCCCTGCCCTCTCTCCCTCTGTTTGTGCCACAGGCTTTCCGTGGCAGCGTGGGGCTGCCGGTGGCCGTGCAGTGCGTGGCCTTGCCATGGCAGGAGGAGCTGTGCCTCCGGTTCATGAAGGAGGTGGAGACGCTCGTCTTGCAGAAAAACAGGATCTTCTGAGTCCCGCACGCTCGCCCGGAGCAGGATCCCAGCAAACATCAGCGCGGGTCACCCTTTGGTCCGACTCGCCTGCAGGACTTGTGTTCCCCTCTGTGAGGATGTGGGAGCGGCTGGGCTGGTGGATGGCTTTGGGGTGCAAGGGCACAGTGAGGCAAGATTCGCGGTGGTGGAGCACTTCCAATCATTGTCCTAATACAGTGATTTTGTTATTGGAAAGTCTGCTGTTTCAGGTCTGTGTTTGTGTGTGGGGTTGGGGTGCATTTTAATTCCCCTCTCAACACCACCCAGGGAAGTGCAAGAACGTGATCTTTCTCTTACAAATGGGGAGACTGAGGCATGGGGACTGGTTTTGTCCAAGACATTCAGACTTGTACTTGGAGAGCTGTAGGAAAAGGGATTTTCCCCTCCACCCTCAGCTCCCTGAGGATGAAATCTGGTGTTTTCCCTGCTGTAGAGCAATCTGAGGTCAAAGCTTGCAGGCTCTGGCATGCAGGGAGAGAGCTGGATGGCTTCCCGCAGTGCAGGGCTGCTGGCACCCTTCACGCCATGGACGGGAAATCTGGAGTGGTAACTGTTGACTCCCATCTCCTTCAGACACCTGCTCCTGTGTTCCCCAGAGCAGAGGTATGCAGTGCTTCAGCTCACGGTGTGGCACGTAGATGGACAGCCTGCCCTGCAGACCCTCTCCTCCCGTTTGGCGGAGAGGACCGTGCCAGGTTTTTCAGTTGGAGTTTGGCAGCTGCTGACACTGGTATTGGCAGCGCTGCGTGCTTCCCAGAAAGGAATACCATGATGCAAACGTGTTTTCCCAATGCAGCAATGTCACAAGCAGATTGTAACAAAGATCTGGCAGGATTTATGTTTGTTTTACTTTTTAATGTGTTATTGTTGTTTAAACCGGTCATGCAGAAGCAGGGGGTCTGTCCAAGGGCTGGGCAGAGGGGTTTATCCCAGCCTAGGAGAAAGCAGCCCCAGGACCCTGATTATCAGGCAGCTTTGGAAAAGGAGGGAGGGAGCCTGAGGCATCCCAGGACTGAATGCTACGTGAAGCCAAGCCCCAGAAGAGCTTGGGGTGGGGCTTTTCACCAGTTGGACTCAGAAAGTGCCGGAGGTGCTGATCTGTTTGCATCTTGACATTCAAGCTTGGAGGCGCTTGTCCCAGGAGAGGCAACACCACCTGCGCCTGTGCTCCCGGAGAGCCAAGCTCTGTTAGTCTAACCGCTCTCTCCCTGGCAAGGGGGTGGGCAGGGTGCAGGACTCCAAGCACCAGAGACCTGGACCGGTAAATGCTCCTCGCTGGAAGCCCTGAGCGAAGACCTGCAGCAAGCTGTGCCACGGGATGGCACTGGGCAGGGCCAAAGCTGCTGTCTGGCTCTGCAGACTTGGGGTTGCCAAAAAGGGCCAGCTGCACGCTGACAATGAAGACCACATCCCCACAATCGGTGGGGAGAGGTTCGTGACACCCACACTGAGTTATTCGGCTCTTTTTGCTCCCTATGCTGGCTGAACAGGGAGGATCCTCCTCGCCTTTCCAGTCAGCAGCTGATTTCCCTATGAGGTCTTGCTTCTTCCCTGAGCTCCCTCCCTGCTGCCCCAGGAACAATCCCACGGGACGGGTCTGGAACAGGCAAGGTAACGTGACAGCAGCATGATCACTAGCTTTTGGTCCCCAAACAAGACATCTCCACCAGAGAACAACGATTGCCCTGGATGCAGCCTCCTCGCAAGCTCTGCTTCCCTACTTGGAGCAGAGCCAGCATCTCTTCGCCTACGGCAGTGCTGCCTTACATCTCGGTGATGACTGTTCACACGTACCTGCTCCTTCCCTGTAGGCTTGCAGACCCTCGGGGCTTGAGAGTTACATTTTTCAGTCCTTCCTTTCTATACTCTTGGGGGGGTGCAGTCCCATGGGTGGGGAGCAGCTGTGGCGGGGGGCAGCTCCTGGGGCTGGCAAGGCGGCATAGTCCAGCTCCTTTGCCTTGTGCTGGCTGGGAGATGGCTTAGAAACTGGGGGGCAGGTAGATAGGATACTGGGTCCACCACAGAGGATTTTCCAGAAGTGCTCACCCACTGATCTGTGTTGCCAAAATGCTTTTCAAAGAGGCTTGGCTTGAAAATGACACAGAGCAGTCAGACTTGAAGGCATCTTCATATAGCTCCTTCCACACTGTCTTTCCAGAGTCACTGTGTCCTACTTGCACCTCCGTGGATCTCCTCTTGGATCTCCTGAGCTCCCTCTTCTCCAAAAGCTTCAATTTCGCCCCCTGCACCAGGTTCCCTACCCCAGGACAAGCTGTGTTGTTCCAGGCTCAAACGGCTGCACATGCCGCTGCCTGAGGGACAGAGGTGATGCATGAGCACCTCTGGTTAATGGGCTTAAGAGTTAATTAATTATTATATGTGGGAATAGTAGGGATAGCCCAGACCTGGGGTTTGCAGACATTCACCTTCGTTCATCAGTCTGTCCCCTGTGCATAGGCAGGTGCAGCACCAGCCACTGGCTTGGGGGAGACACAGCCTTGAGGGACACCCCCACCTCCCCTGCGCCTCCCACCCCCAAACCCAGTGTGAGCTGAGCACACCGCTTTGCAGCCCAACCCCCAGTGCTCCTTCAGGAGGCAGACCCTTTCAAAGTCCACAGTCTAAGTAGTCTATTCCTGGACTTTGTTAATGCAATTCTGTTTCAGAGCTGTTCTTGTACAGCAAGCGATTGCATGGTCTGCATCCATCAGCCCTCCTTGGGAGAAGGTGGGAGACCTGGGTGTCCGTAGCTGGACCAGAACAGGAAGGACTGGGAAATCATGACCCAAGAGCAAGTGTGGCAGGTCCTAGATCCATTGTGGAGAGACCCTCGCGCCCTCTCGGTTCTGCTCTGCAGTTCAGCTGCAGCTGTGGGGCTACTGAAATGGCTGGGACGTAGGGAGATCCAGCAGAAGATGGAGGAGACGAGGAGGGCACGGGATCTGGCCCTGGAGCGAATGGAGAAGGCAGCTTCCAGGTTTAAGCAAGAGGTAACATGGGGGAAAGTGTGTGGGAGGGAGGGATTGATTTTTGGGTAACCAAAGAAATGGGGGAGTGCTGATCAATCCCTCTTCGAATGGTGGTTAGGGCATATGCACCTTTGGGATCATCACCCATTTTTTTGAGGGTACTCACCCTCCTAAAGATGGCATAAAGGAAGTATTTCTTAATGCAGAGCTGTTGAGGGCATCCTGAGGATGAAAGTTGGATCTGAGTTTGGGCCCCTCTGAATCAGATCACCACCCCACCCCCTTCCTATGCCCTTTGCTCCTCATCCATCGTTCCTGCCAAGTCTTTCCTCTCCCATCCTCCTTACCTCTGCCCCTCCACAGGGATCTGTCTGCCCCATCATCCTGAAAGTTGGGGGGGGCGGGGGGGAGGCCACCACACACTTCACATCCCTCCAACGTCTGCACATCAGTAATCAAAAGCCATTTTCTCCTGCCCAGGCCCAGGTAAAGAAACACCTGGATTTTAGGTCAGGTCCTTGGATGTGCAATTTGTTTAAACCCACAAAAAATAACTACTGCTATTCTTTCCTTGCGGGGGAGGTTGCAAGCAGCCCACACGCTTTTATTTTTCCCCGTGTTAATGATAAATTTTGTAAAACTTTAGCTGGTTGAGCTGCTATTTAACACGGTCTCTGAGTTAGAAGGGGAGTGAAGGCCTGCAGGAGAGTAAAAAGAGACGTGTTAAACCTCTCTTACAGGTTCATGCAAGTCTCCAGCTAAGAAGTAGTTTTCTGCCTGTTTTGGTTCTGTTTTTATGAACTAAGACTCAGCAAATTCCCCGTCAGCAAATTCCCCACTCCGGCACATACAGTGCTGTGTGGGAGGTCTGCATTTCTACAGGGAATGTCTCCTAAAATTCTTCATTCAAGGACATTGCTGGGCAGATGTTAGAACTGGGTATTTGCAACCTGCCTTTTCTGTCATTTTCTTCCCTCTGCACCCAATTTCCTACCCTTTGCAGAACCCAGGCACCCAGACAGCACATGTCCTTTCACTGACAATGGTGGAGCTGGTGGAGAAGCTGAAGGATGGGTCCCTGTCCCCAGAAAGTGTCCTTTACTCCTACATGGGCAAAGTGAGTGATACCTCCAGCGTGGGGGAGATATGCTGCAGGACTCTTAGGTGGTGGTGGCTTTCAAATTAAAAACCAGAGAACCAGAAATGCTGGGAATTACAGTTTGTTAATACAGTGAAGTTTGAAGGGTGGCTTACGGTGAAATAAGTAGGACAAAGTTCCAGGGCAGCAAATTATCCCAGCAAGAAACATCTATATTTTATAGGTAAGGTCTGAATAATGAATGCTTGAGGTTTGAGGAGATTGAATTTTCAGCTTGCAAACTTAATTTAAATACCATTTCCTTCCTTCTGACCATTCATCTGTCTTGCTGCTCTTCCCTGTTCTGGAGAGGCTTTGGAGGTGACTCGGGAGGTGAACTGTGTGATCGACTTCATTCATGGCTGTGAGGAGCAGCTCCAGAAACTGAAGAAGCAGAAGGAGAAGGGGCTGCTCTATGGCATTCCCATCAGCATCAAGGACCACATTAACTGCAAGGTACATCCCTAATTCTCCTGCCTCGTGGCCTGGGAACAGGCCAGGATGTCCCAACAATGTCATGATGTGGCTAAGAGTTCCCTCAGACAAGGATGTTCCAGACCACATATTGTGGGACCAGCAAACCTTTTTTTCTAGTTGATGAAAATTTTGTTTTCTGCAGAAATTTCCATCCTGCTCTGATCCAGCTTTCCCTGGGGTAGTCAGGTCCTGTTCTGCCTGTGAGAATAGCTAGGTGGGAACTTTGTCCCAGGAGGCATCAGGACTCATGTCTGTTATTGTCACAGCTTCAAACAGCATCTTGCCTGGTACCTAAAGAGCTTTGCTCCCTATCCCCAAGGACCACGTCTCCTCTGGAGGGATGGTGAAGTTTCTGGGCCAAGTGAAGGAAGAAGACAGTGTCATCATCCAAGTTCTAAAGAGCCAGGGGGCAATCCCCTTTGTGAAAACCAACATCCCGCAGACAATGATAAAGTAATTGCATGTTCGCCTTCATGAAAATGCTGTGACATGTGACTCTTGCTATCTGAGAGAGGGTGGGGCCAAATGCACAAGCTCTCACCCTTGTCCAAGCTAATCATGCATGTTGAATTAATTTCCACCTCGTTTCAGTCTGAAATTATTTCTTTTATATTTGATGCCCCTTTCTTTTTAAATTCAGCTGTCCCAACAAACCTACTTCATGCTCATTCTACCTCCTGGTATTGACTCCACCCTCATCCCTGCATGGATGCTCTGTGTCCTATATTTATGGTTTGCAGAGGCAGAAGTACCTCCCTCATCTGCTGATCTTCTTCTCCCCAGCTATGACTGCAGTAACCTCATCTTTGGCCAGACCCTGAACCCCCTCAACCACCAGAAGAGCCCCGGGGGCTCCTCAGGAGGGGAGGGAG